CTTCTACGTGTCCCTGTATGCCAGAGCTGCTAATGATCCTTCACATGTCCTTCCTCACAGTGCTGCCTGTTCTGCAGGAAGCAAAACACTGTGCCTGCTGGCCCTGAGGGAGACCACACGTCCCTTCCAACGTTTGTTCGCCACACTTGGCTGGTGCCAAGTCCCAGGACACATGGTGAAAACTGTTTGCACAGATCTGGGATTTGGGCTCAGAATTGGCAGGCCAGAGAGAGAGTTGCATCTCTTCAGCCCAATAAGGAGTGTTCATCTGAATAAAGCAACCTGCAAAATCTCCAACAAGTAGCTGCCATTGTGGCTATTATCACATGTATGTGTGCGCGTGTTTGGCTCCTTCTGGCTGGCAGTTCCAGTCAACCTGTGTGGGGCCCTGGCTTGCCCAGCCTGGCTCCTGTTTTTGAGCTATAACTGCTAGACCACTGTATAAGCCCACCAGGGCATCCCAGAGCAAGCTCAGCAAGCAACACAGCACTTTCCCTCTTGATTTTATTTTACCTTGGCAGCATTGGTTGTCAAAACAACTCTGCAACTCCCCCTTTTCCTTTCAGAGTTGGCTTTGTTGTTGATTAAATGAGCAAGCACTTTAAACAAATGCTTTGCTGTATTAACCCTCCCTCCTTACAGATTTGGTAGCCCTGGGGAGCTCTGCCAAAACAAGTTGCTGGGTTAGGCATTCGCAGAACCAGCAGCTTAAAGCCTTTTTAATAACAGCATAGCCACTCGGTCCACCTCTTGAATTCTTGACAGTGATGGCTTTAGGGATAAAGAGCAGGTTGCTACTAGTATGTGGACTACCTTGTGGAAAAGCATTATCTCAGATTTTCCATAGGACTCAGAGGGAATTAATTTCATTTCTGTTCTTTAGCCTTTGGTTGTTCTTCATTTTCCTTTTGCGGTGATTCAAATGACAAAGCTGCTTTGTCTTAGGTGGGGTGCCCATACATTCACAGGATGTTGGAATGAACTCCTTGCTACAGTAGAATATATGTTGCTGGTTCTGTTTGATTTTAAAAGGTGCTTTTTGTGGGACCCTTGACATTTCTTCTGATGCCTGCTTTTTCTCTTTGGTTAGATCATTATTAGCCTCTTCCTCTCCTCTGGGATGAGATGCTTTTTCTTCCCTTTCTTTTTTTTTTGTGGGTTGGCAAGGCCTAAGATGTTTTGCCTTGACACCCAACCCTAAAGTATCCCAAAGGGTACAACTCACCCAGCTGGAGGACTGGGTGAGGGGACACTTAGCAGAACAGGAAGAGAGTGTGAGACAATGTTGTGATAATTTTTTTAAAGGACCACGAGGTTTTGTCAACCAGGTAATGAAACACAATTTCAGTATCAATAAACAGTTCTTTTGAAGAATGCTTCTTGATTGGCTTTGTAAACCTTCCTTTGTATATGACCATGTAAGCCTCCTAGTTGGAGAAGTTTCCAAATGTTGGGGTCTTGTCTTCTTTTGTGGTTTCACTCAAGACAGCTTTATAGTTGAAGAACACAGACACAAGGCTGAAAAGGCTTTCAACCAATTTAGGGAAGTGATTAGTTTTACTGGCATAAAAGACTGAAGGACAGTCACTTCACTTCTGAAGGCTTGACTTTTGACATCTTTTCAGGTAACTTCTAAGTCTTATTATATTTCTATCCTGCTTTTGTGTAGGATGTTGTTTTTTTCCTCACCCCTGCAGCATCCGTGTAAGGTACCACTATGCAGTAATGAGTGGCCCAGGTTTGCCCATGGAGCTTCAAGAGACAAGACTGGGGATTTCTGCAAAACTCTTTAACTGAGTACTTAGACCTGCTCAGTAGGCACTTCTACTAAGAGCTGCTTCACACAATATGAATTTCCTTTACCAAAAGGAAATCTCACCTGGCAAGTTGCTGTGAAAGGCAGTTGTATACTTTTTTCGTGTGTTGCTTTGGTAGATTAATAAAAAGACAGAAAAGATAATTTTATTGTTACACATTTGGAATACAGGCAGCAACCATTTTAGGCACATCCAATATGTGCACAACCGTGCCAAACCTAGAAGTGACCCGAAAACATCACAAAAAGGGGCAGGGGTAGAACAGGGTGTTTGGAGGCTTTTTCAATGGTGTTTCAAATATACACGATTTCGCCTTGCAACGTAACCCCCTTGTAAATTGGGAGTTACCTGTACTTTCTCTTTTCATCCCTTCTTTCACTTAGTGTTTTCTACATGGAAGCATTTACATGTAGGACATTCATCTTGTGTGAAGTTATCAGTACTAAACGTGATGCTCATTAAGAAGTGGTGATTGTTGAGGGGGCTTGATGGGGTCAATTTTATAATTTTTCAAGCAGACGTAACTGACTTCCTTGGGTAGGTACTTCTAAAAATATCGAATACTAATGCAGCTGTCTGTGAGTTCTAAGCCATTGCAATCTGTTTCTACACAAGACGCATGAGAAATACAGTGTTTTAATACTCTTAGGCCAGGTTCTGATTCTGTTGCAAAATAAGATTTTTGTACTAAATCTCAGAAAGATGTTGGGCATCACTTCGTTTTGACAGGAAATGTATTGGAATAGCTCAGTCAGTATAGCATGAGACTCTTAATCTCAGGGTTGTGGGTTTGAGCCCCACGTTGGGCGAAAAATTCCTGCATTGCAAGGCTTGGACTAAATGACCCTCAGAGTGGCTGGAGAAACCCAGCCAGATGGGCAGGGTATAAATAATAAATTAGTATTATTATAATGGTCCCTTCCAACTCTACAATTTTATGGTTCTATTATTCTACTGGGTGCTTCACAACACCACCCTGATAATCCTAACTGTAACCCTTGTACCATAAATGTTGGCCGTAACTTGCAAACAACCATGATTTGTAATTTCGAAATCGTGTGTCTCATCCTGGAACAAGGATACAATACCAGGGACCTGTGCCAACAGACAGCATTAACAGTAGCCACTGTTGCACGGAAGCTAGTTGATAGCCAGCTACTGGAGACACAGTACTAACAAAGGTTCTAAGGAATCGCTACTTAAATTCATAACCTTGCATTCAGTATGTGGAAAGGTTTTATAGCCTGTGGTGGGTTGTTAATAATAATAAGAATTAGAATTTATATACCGCCCTATACCTGGAGATCTCATTCCTGTTAGGGAGATGTTTTGTGAGTAAATAGATTGGGTGGAGTTCTAGTACAACAGAGGATAGTGAATGCAGCATCCTGGGATATATGTGGAAGGTCTTCTGTGGACTCAGCCGAGCTTTCAGGAAAGGAATCCTGTAGGGATAACCTGCAGTCCTTATATACTGGGTCTTCCTTACTTAGGAAGTAAAAGGCATTTTCCTGTTGTTGTTTTTAAAAAGGGAGATAGCAAGCTGTCGAAAGCCAGTACAATCAAAGTAAACAATGCTGGGCTGGATGACCCAATCAGGCCAGTTGGATGCTTCAGTGATTTGTGCTAGCCAGGTGCCTTGGTGTAGTACTAAGTCATTCTTCTGAAGAGCATACTGGGCCCTTGCAAGTTAGGTAGAGCACTGGTCTAAAGCCCAAATGATTCATGTCAATCACAGATACATAGAGCTAATTCCTGTAGATCCTCCTTTATAACTTTTTTTCTCATTTTCTCTCTGTTTAAAAGAAATATTGCTGATGCGAAATATCCACCTATAAATTCTCACTATCAGGAGAGGTATACAATAGTTGGAAGTTTTCCTAAAACTGTTGCAACAGGGGAGTCGAATGTACCTCTTCTCTCTACAGCCGTACAATCCTGCCTTGTAAGTGGAATTTAACTTTATACCCATTCATAATATTTGGTCCTCCAGAAATTTATGGGAGACTTCTGAACTGCTGGTACTGCATCAGCTTTAGGTGTCACTGTTCTATCCATTGTATCCTTTTTGGCTGCCAAGACATGCTATCTGAAATCACAGGAGGGAAGCACTAAGTTCACTAGGCCTTGTTAGTTTCATAACTAAATTCTGGGCTGCTGTGAAATAATTTTTGGCACCAACAGGAATTTTCAAGCTACCCATTGACTCCTTGCAGTTTACTTCACCCCAGTAACAACTCATGCTTTAGGAAGTTGAGGAACAGGGAGCTTTACTATTAGCACAGTATTAAAGGAGCAGCTGCGGAATCACTCTGGATTCAATTATGCTTTCAAATAGCAATTAGGCTCTACTTGTTGTTTTACTATCATCCTTCAGCCACATCACACTTAGGAAACAACACTGGTGCACCCTGAAGGCATTGGAGAATTTTACCAACACCAGTGGCTTCCCAGAACAGCTCTTTTCTACCCAGGGGCAGAACTAATTGTTAAATCTCTGCTATCCCTTACTGTTGTAGTGCCACCTATTGGTAATAATCAGTATGACAATTACTGGTAACTCAGTGAACACGTTCATAGAATCGTAAGAGTTGGAGGGAGTCTTGCAGGCCATCTAGGCCAATCCCTGCTCAGCATAGGAAATCCTGAGCTACAGCATCCATAAGATGATTGCCCAGCCTTTGCTTGAAGACTTCCAATGAGGGAGAGCCCATCAACCTCAGCAACTGATTTCACTGTCATTAAAACAGCTTTTCTAACATTCAGATGCAATAAGTCCTCCCCCAACTTGCTTATTAGATCTAGTCCTGTCCTCTGGGATTGCAGGGAACAAGTATTTTCCCTCTTCTGTGTAAATGACCTTTGGGTATTTGAAGAATGCTATCATTAAACATGCCAGTTCTTTCAATCCTTCCTCATGAAACTGGCTTTCCACCCCACTAGCCATATTTGGTGTCGTCTTCTGAACTTGTTCCAATTTGCCTATGCAGCACCCAGAACTGTAGACAGTACTTTAGATGAGGTCTGACTAGGGCAGAATAAAATTAACAGATGTGATGCCAGCAAGAAAGAGCAATGTTATCTGCAGATACCAGGTATCTCATGAACTCTGCTTGAGGATATCTTGTCTTAGTGGATCAGAAGGGAGCAAAAACAAATAAAAAGGCAACATGCCAGAGCCACTACAGGTGTTCAAAAGCTTTATTTAATAGAGCACTCTTGATTACCTTTCTTTGATCAAGCTCATTGATGGGTACACCTGCCCGGCAGATATACTCATCACAAACAGTCCAGTGCAAACAACGATCTTCGTTGGTGCAGTTTCAGATTTGGCAGACCGCTTGATGTTTCAGTAACAGCAATATATATTTCAGCCAAATCAATCCATGTAACTGGTGAAAACGAAGCATTCCTGCTGACATAATGCCTGTCGCAGTTGTCACTGAAAGGACTGGTATCGCATAGACGCAAGAAAAGGTGTGGGGACCATGGGCTCCATAGAAAAGATAACCAGGTACTCTAGTCCATTAAAATGTAGCATTTTTACATAATACATTATGGCAAACTATATGTTGAAGTAAATGATGCTGCACAGGACATCTAAGGTACATACCACTGGAAGCTGAAAACAATGGGACTTCAATTAGTCACATTCTTTCATAGGTTTCAAAGAGCTTTAGTTATGATTAACTTTATCTATGTCGGGGCCAGTGTCTTAATCTCCTTGCAACCATGGTGCTTCTTCCAATCCCATTAAACAAGGGGCCCAGCTTTGCCCATTTTCTCATTCTTTGCTAAGGCAGTTATTCTCTCTTCTTCCCAGGCAGCAAAACAAAGACTCCTTTCCCTGATTTAGTCCCACAGCTGGTGGGAACCTTTGTATGCACTATGGTTGAAGCTACTTAAACATGCTGCAAGCAAATCGAATCTGGAAGTCAGCTGTTAGCTAATGATAAAAAAGCAACTGGGTTTTATACTTGCCTTGGAACTGCAAGAGATTAAGTACCATCAGTCCATCTAGAAGCTTTTCTGAGTGCCTCAACATTCCTGTGTAGAAAGCATTTCCACACAGAGATTGTATGTAGATCAACACAAGTGTTGATCACACATGTTACATTTGTGCAGAACATGTCATGTATCGGCAAACAGTGCCAAGTCTGAAAAAAGAAGAGCGCTTATCTGTATTTCAGTGCTCTGCTTCCATGTTCCTGTTCACAGGATCATCTCTGTTAAATACTGTGACTCATGAGAAATCAAATGCTGGGAGTTTTGGTCTAAGAGCTACAAAAGAAGATAGCCATGCAGATACTATTCTAACCTCTGTGCTTGGATCAGTGGGAAACCTTTGGACATCAGAGCTCCCTTTTGCTTACCTAGCCATAAAATGAAGCTACTATTCATCTACCATAATGCAAGAGTGAATGGAAATTCTGTACACCTAGAAGGGAAAGGACTGAGCAGGTTTCTTCTCCACCTTGAGAGGGCATAAATACATTTGCTGGGCTGTAAGCTTCCCTCTATCAGGAATAGTTTCAGGTAATAATGTGGTCTTGTGGTATACCATTCCAGGTATAGGATAAAAGATTATGAGAACCTATACCACTAGGCCAGAAGTTCAAGGAGAAATTCCCAAGCTTACATAGTATTGTGCTTTTGTCCGTGAAGCTTTCCCATGAACAGTGCACGCGTCATCCTGAAAGCAGGAACCCAGAAGTTATCAGTGCAAAGAAGGGAAAAGAGACTCGGTTATACCATTCTTGAAAGCCTTTCTCAAGTTCAGTGTACCATATGCCCATGAAACTTTTGCCTGCCTCACATCTTTCCACCAGGGAAGAGGAGGAGGAGAATCCATCACTGTGCTGCCCCTCTTCTTCCTGGTTCTCAGTGTTTGCCTGTTATTTTCTAGGCAGCAGTTGCTCTCAAAATGGCTGTTTTATAGCAGCTGACCAAAGAAAAGGCCACAGTAACTACTGAGGGCCAGAGTGGCGACAGAAGGGAGGACACAGTAGCAATTTCTTCCTTTCCCCCTACTTCCACACAAACACAAGGCAAGCACAGGTAAACAAGCCTGCAATGCAGTCCAGAGTAGCAGGGTACTAAGCCACATTGAACTGAGTGGTGCAGACATGGAATGACAGGACTTCTAAGAGAGTAAAAAAAACACCAGGAGAGAAGGTGGGGTAGTGAAGGAGTTGCAGCCCTCAGAATATTATAAAAGTGGAAGGAAATGGCAAGTATCTCCTAATGTTTGTCTAGATCTAAGACAGGTTGTACAAAATGCTCTACATGTCAATCATCATGTCTTCACATCAAATTGTCTCTGGAAAACGCCAATGGATAATTAATCCACATCTGAGCCACTTCACTATTTCAGGAAGTGAAGTTACTTAGCCGATCTAACACATATAGTTGATCAGGTTTGGTTTTTAAACTGTTTATGTAAATCCCCCTGAGAGCTTCAGCTACAAGGCTATGAACAGATAAAGCAGCAGTAATAATAATAATTTACACTTACATGCTAACATACACTTTGAATCCTGCTGGGGAGAAAACCTGCTAGACAGGGGTGGTCTGGTGTTCTTGAGCATTAAAAAATGAGAAGTGTTAGGCCCTCTGTCCTCCCATGCCACTTTCTGGTTGTAGAGCCTCCATACAAGGCAGCTTTGTTTTTAAAGCACATAATATGTTTAGATCCTGCCTAGCTCAAATTACCTTGTCATTTCTAATACAGCTTAGAGCACTGCACAGTCAGGACAGATTTTTTTAGACAGAAACTCAGGCCTTTACAACTGTGTTAGAGAGAGATCAGTCCTTCTCTTATTCAGAGTGCTAAAAGGTTCAATCTGATACCCAAACCAGGACATCTGAACCCCAAACAGTTTACCAAGAGAAAGTATATTAAAACAGCCGAGGGGTGTGTGTGTGTGTGTGTGTGTGTGTGTGTGTGTGTGTGTGCAAGAAGGATTTCAGCAGCTACCTGAATCAAGAACGACCTAAGCAATACTTGGTGTTCTTACACAGGGAGGCACCAGCAGAGTGCAACTGGGCTACTTACTCAGCACTGGCCATATTTCCAGAGGTATTTTGACAGAGAAGAGAAAATGCTACATGGACACTCTGGCACCAAAAGGAAGCTGGTTCAACAGGATGGGCATCTCCAGGATTTTAACAGGGAAAAGTCAGAAATTACATAAAATACCATATGATGCTATAGGCAAGTAAAAAGAGATTCTTCAGTCCCACTGCCTTGTAAGACCACCTGACTCCTTACTGACAATGCAGGAATTCTTCAGAGATCCCACAAGCTGTCTATTTCAGGATGGCTTTCAAGGCTGGATTCTTTTGCGATAGAGGTAGGCATTGCTCACTTGGTTCATGATAACCAGGCTGGTGAGGATAGGACACAGCATGGACAGATACCAGGAGACTCCAGTTACAGATATGGTAAACCACAAGGAACACATACCCAGCATCAAACTGGCACAGCCAAGAATGTAACCGATCAGCCCTGATGTGGCGTGGTAAAGCTTGAGTTTGCTCAGTGTCCAGTTCTTCATCAGCTTGGGGTAGAGCAGAGCAAGGCCCCCCATGCACTGCATGGTAGCATACAGCACAGTCAGCAAGCCAGTCAAACCGTGCCAGGTGACAAAGTGGTCTTTCCCCTTGCGGTACTTGTTATAGCTGATGATGGCCAAGCCCAACACTGCACAGGTGAGTGAGAGCAACTGTAAAGCCCAATGGAAGCGGACCTTGGCCTTCCGGGAGAAGGACTGGAGGAGGGAGCTCTCTGGAGAGAAAGTCAGAAGGGCTTCTGTCATCAGGAAAGAAAACTGGAGAGGCAAAAGAAGACAACATCACTATGGTTTGTTACATTACATTTAGCCAATGGTAAAATTGCACTCATACCCAGCTTAACAAGAACAAAAGCTTCCTTGCTTTCCCCCAGCATTTAACTTTGTGTAATAACTTGGGAATTCCTGCCAAATACTGGAGAAGAAATTGTTCTGTCATGGAAAGGCTTATCTCTTTTCTAAAGAAGGTGGTAATAATAATAATAATAATAATAATAATAATAATAATAATACCCGCCCATCTGGCTGGTACAAATTTTATAGTGATCCTCATCAGCAAAGGAGAAGATAAAAGCTTTGTGAGCTGCACACAGAAAAGGAAGGGATAATTATCTCATATTTTACTCCTATCTACCAGTAGGGAATTCTGGATTTGAGTCCCACAACAGGCAGGAGCAACTGCATCACCTCTGCCTTTTCCAATTCCTTAGCACACAATTTCCATCTTACTCCACAATAAGCTGCTTCCAGCCTTTTCTCAGACTATTCAGTCCACTAAACAAAGCCCGAAATAGATAAGGTAAGGTTATAATTAGTTATTTAGGAAGATGGTTGTAAAGAATGCCTGTGGCTGGCTTACCGCAAGAGACATTAAGAAAGGATGCCAGGAGAACAAGCCTGGAAAGAAACAAAAGCAAGGTGAGTCCCTGTAGACAATCAGTTAGCATACAGCTGAAAATGTGCTACCTGCTCTGGAAATAGGATACATCCATTTAAATCCTAGAATTAATCCAATTGTGTGGAAATGCTAAGTGTACTAGAATCATTGTTGCTGGCCGAGGGTCGTGCCATGGCCTCCCGCCAAGCAGGCTTCGGACGGAATACACGACCGCCAGATTCCTTTAACGGAATACCCCTATAAATTGAAGGCATAGGCGATGGCCACACCTAGCACTTCGACACACCACAACACATTATTCCAATGCCTAACCTACCCACCAATACCACCAAAAAGTTGTGACGATTGCTACGAGGTAGGCGAAAAAACCAAAAAGCCTAATGCCAAATGGAAAAACTCCTACCAGGCCCCCCGGGCAACCGGGGCGACCAACCTAAGGTCCATAGCAAGGCCAATGCCCTAAGCCCTAACTCAAAGGGTGTGGAGGGTGGGTGACTCGCACAGGACGACGAAGAGAAATGAGGCCGGAGGAGAGGCTGGCACTGCAGCATAAAGGCTGCTGGACACGCCCCCCCATGGCACCTGGTTGGACGGCCGCTGGAGAGAAGCCACACACATTTTATATACTTCAATTTGGATCCCTTTGTCATTCCTTCTCATGTGAGGTTCAGGGTAGAGCAAAGCTTTCCCCAAAACAGACATAACAAAATGACTTCAAAATCAAAAGCGCTCAGTGGCGTAGCGTGGGGGGTGCAGGCGTGGCCGGCTGCACCGGGCGCAACATCTGGGGGTTAGGGTTAGGGGGCGCAAATCCACGGGTCAGGGGGCGCAAATCCACGGGTTAGGGGGCGCAAATTACTTGCCTTGCCCTGGGTGCTGACAACCCACGCTACGCCACTGAAAGCGCTGAAAGAAATGCAATACAGCACTCCAAACACATTGTGGAATTGCATATGAATTCTGGAAAGGTTGCCATTTACTTTGTAGCAGGAAAAAGATAAGCATTGTGTTACCTTAAAGATGGAACAGATTTACAGTGGTATAAAATTTGTGGTCACGAAACCTTATGCTACACTAAATTGTGGGTTGTAGGTGCAACAGGGATCAGTGTTTTTAGAATCTGGCACAACACAGATTATATCCCTCTTTTTAAAAAATCTAATATTTTGATTAATGTGGTGTGTTGTTCTGATCTGCAGCCCAAAGGAGGGCCAGTGGGAGTGGTTCGGTGCAGAGATACCAAAAGAGAAAATCAAAGACACCAGAATGGCCAGTTCTAGTGCTTTATTAAAGAAAGGTATAAACTTACAACACAGCCTGCAAAGCCCCACTGCCATTACAAGACATGGGGGGAACACCACAGCAAGAAGCAATCATGACTTGTCCACAAAGTGCTAGTAAGTTAAGCATTACTTATACAAAAGACGGCATACTTTTGTTTGACCAGAACTTCTCATCAATCCATGTGAGGACATAGCTGGAAACTATCTAAGGCAGGCTTCCTCAAACTCGGCCCTCCAGATGTTTTGAGACTACAATTCCCATCATCCCTGACCACTGGTCCTGCTAGCTAGGGATCATGGGAGTTGTACGCCAAAAACCGCTGGAGGGCCGAGTTTGAGGAAGCCTGATCTAAGGCTTACAGATAGTTCCCCTCTGTGGGCCAAGAACCCAGTATCCCAGGCCCCACAGATAAGCATAGCATCAAAGCAATCCAATTAGTCTGTAACAAAGCAAGTGCATATATAGGTGAGCTCATTGTTGCAACAACTACCAATTAGTTTCAGGGTCATCTTGACTACCAAGATGGCGTTCGCAGTCTCACCTTTGGTTCAACGCATGTGCTTTGCTGAGACTGCAAATGGGAATGCAGTGCCCTATGCCAAAATACCTAAGGCATCACTGAAAGTGGGCCTAGTGATCTTGTCTAAAGCTTTTGTTATGTTAAAGGATCATATTTCACTAGAAGACTCATTTAACAGAGAGAGGCTCAAAGTTTATTCTCATAAAACATCCAGGAGTTCAAAGTTAGTAACAGGAGATGTTGCAAAGGATTGGTTTACTGTGACAGAGCTCATGTGTTGCATTTTGTAATGGAAAAACAGAAATGCTACACTATTTGTCAGTAAAGTGCACTGGCCAAACTCTCTCCAGGCGATAATCAAAGACTGTAGTCACAGACATGTAAACTTCATGTGGATGGTCTTCCTAATTCACATAAGGTTTGGAAAAACACCATGAAGGGGATGAACATTAAAATGTGCATCAGGAGCATGCACAGGTTTCTTGCAGGACTGAGACACCATCCTATGTGTTGTGTCAGGCAGAAGCTATTCCTATCAGTTTAGGCCCGGTAAAACAATTATATTTAAGAGCAGAAGCGCCCTAGAGAGCTTAGATGATTCAGAAGCCTATCATGTTGGCTATATGCAGAGTGAGGCCTAAACCACCTGAAATCAGTTCTACAAAGTGCTGGACTATAAGTCTTACTTTCAAATGACGAACATCCTTTACTCACACTCAAGACAAAATTTTGATTGAGTGTATATCTGCCCACATCTTAATTTTTAATCAAACCTATGCACAGGTATTGGAGCACATTTAACAATGCACCTATCATTGCATCCTACTTACTTGATCCAGGTCTAGCTACCACAGCTACGAAGATGGTAAATCCAAGCGAGGCAAGGTGCGCAGTAGCACCAAAGACAGCTCTGAGAGAGTGGTATATTCGCGATTCTGTTTCAACAGTCAGAGCCATGTCTTCTCCAGCACAGTTGACAGGATCTTGACCTTCCACCCTTCACCAGTTACCAGCTTCCTTTTTTCTGTATGCAGCATGTATCAGCTTCCCCAGCACAGAAGGGGAAATGATAGAATGTTATTGTGCTGATGGGGAAAACATACTTCTCATACTTCTGTTAGTTATCTGAGAAAAAGACAGGCAAAGCTATTAACACCAAAAAATCTGTCCATAAGATGGCACAGGCCCAGCAATAACTTTCACTGGTGAATCTTAAGGGCAGACTAAAGAAAAATCCTGGCTTGCAAAAGAAGACTTTGTTCCCCACCATATGCTTAATTTATTAGCAATAGCAATGGGCTATTTCAGGAAGTCAGCTGAACTCTCCCCTTCATCATGCCCATTCTTTTTTCTCCCTCCCTCATTGTAACTGCAATACCTGTGACAGTGTGGTACTAAAGGGAAACATTTGCCCATGCCACATTCTGCCTGGCATGTGCACAAAATGTGCTGTCTTAGCACATCTTCTCACCAGAATTAGTGCAGTAGAAAAAAAGTCTCCCACTCCCATGGTTGCAGCAGGGCAGACGCCTTTCACCAGGGAGAAACTAGGACACACTGACAAACTACAAAGCCAGTATAAAGCACTACAAGAGTTACACCACTCTTATTACTGGTTTGCTAAGAAAGCCTGTTGAGTCACAGACATGTTTCATTTTATGACAGCAAGTATTGATGCTGCAGCTCCATGGAGTAATGCTATTGAAACGTGGAGGCATTTGGCAAGCTAAGGCACAACCACATTTTTCTTTACGTTCCTCATGGAATTCCCAAATTAAGATTAGAGCTCTTGAACAAATATTCAACCACCAGCGCCAACTGAAACACCTAACAGATTCTCCCTGGTTCATGCAAAGCTTAATACGTAAACTATAGTCCTATTCTGCTTCCTGGATTATCATTGATCAATCCAATTTATTATTGATTCAACACACCAGAAACCTGTGGCGGAATGGGGGGGTTTCCAGATATTTTTTTAATGTGGCAATACAAGAGAACTGCAAACATCTTATGTACACATGGGCTGCACTGCTTTCTCTACATGAATTTTGTCCCAGATGAAGCAACCCTGAGTGGAGAGCTGAAGCAAGGTCCAAGCCCTGGTAATCTCTCCTTTGCACCCTCTACAGATCCACCTTCTTACTGGAATGACATCATAGGGTTAACCAGGGCCATACGTATTGGGGGGGGGTTGCCCCAGTAGTGTCTCCAGAGTGGCACCATTGAGGCTCCCAGCCTGTGTGTGCAAATGCATGTGGAGGGCTGCCAAACTGGGTCTTTGACCTGGGTGAAATAAAGCCTCGTTTCACCCCTGGATTAACAAAGAAATGAGATTGACACCGAAATTAAACTCAAAGGGACCACAGGCAACTGAGAGATGCATTCACTTCTTTTCAAACAGAGAATTATATTGTCAGTCAGAGTGAACACTCCCTTTTAAAAGAGTAAAAGAGAGAGAGAGCTCATTCAGTAGTTTCCAAAGTAGTATGAATAAGTGTTCAAACCCAGGAAGCCATAAACAGTGAAATTACCACCTCTATGCTTGATCTTATAACCGGATGGCATTTGTGCTTATCCAATTTAGTGTATTTTATTTAAGCAGTAATTAAACCACAGCCCACTTCAGGAGGAAAATACAGTATATTCACTCTCACCAGCATCCCTTTCTTTTAAACCTGCTGCCACAGATCAGCTGTTGTGTCAGGACACTGATCCTGTTGTCTTAAGTATGAAAATGTGGTAGAGTCGCCATTGCTCATTCATCTCCCCTCAGCAACCTGTTATTGCAGAGTCTGATCCGGATCTCTTTCTGTGCACTATGAATGGCAGAGCGAGATTTAGCGTGCTTCATGATTCTACCCCACCCTATTCATTTGTGGAGGGAGGATACCCAGTCTGCCAAATTACAGGGGTGGGGGGAACACCCACAGACCCTTCAGACCCCCGTTTAATATACGGTATATTGTATAGCATATATGCTTATATACATATTTATATATTCGATAGTCATTGGGAGGACCCAATCTTCCCTAATCCAAAAGCACATTCTCCTCCGATAAGGCACCCGCCCCTGCTCCTAACTCTTCACAAAGCGAGATTTTGAGGAGCAGGAGATTTCCGGGTTTCAGGTGCCGATTTGCCAAGATCGAAGATGCGGGTCACACAAAGGCATCCCCAGCAAGGCTTCAAGTCACAGGAACAGCCCCACCCACGACAGCTGTGCACAAGGGGGCAGATCTCGACCCACGCCGCCGCCCACCTTCCCTCTTGGGTTCGCATACACACCGAGTTCCTTAGTCCGAACACACACACACCCGTGTCCAACAGTAGATCCCGGGGAGCGCGGATTTCACCTACCTGCTCGCGGATGATCCGCATCGCAAGGGAGCAGGAACTCCGATAGAAGCAGAGGAAGCAAGCGCCACCTGCTGATTGGGCAAGGCCGAGACTGGCCTTCTAGGGCCCGCCTACCCTGACTGTCATCCTCCGCATCTGAGAGGCTGAGCCTCGCTGTCCATCACGGGCGAAGTTCTGTCAAATGAAGCCTTCAACCTGATAAGACACGTGACCACCTGGGCAAGTTCTCCTCGACGGCTCCTTTGTTTGGAATTGCCATTCGTTTTATCGGGAGTCAGAGAAATCTATGTGCGCGCATCTCCGGGACAGCAGTCTCGCCACTAGGCCAGATAAAACAGTGATGGCATGCGCATGCGCCATAACGTTAGTCTATCTCTCTCTCTCTCTCTCTCTCTCGTGCGCGCGCGCGCCTGCGTGCCCAGATGTTTTGCGCCTGCGTAGAAAAGCCAAGCGTTCTCCCCGACTCCGACCATACGCGGGACTATAGTGTGCGCATGCGTGCTCTTGCTGCTCTCCTCTCTCGGTCGCCGGTGAGTGCGCCTTTCCTTCAGTGCTGTTCTTCGTGCACTTGGGGAGGAGGAGGGGGGGGCGCTTGCAGGCTGTTTCGCCCGTTTGTGCTGAGTTCCCTGGGGAAATGTGTGTGCGAGTGTAGCACTTACTTGTCTGCCCACTTAGCAATGAACCTGGAGTTTCCTACACAGGAACAATTTTTCCCCAGTGTCTTTTGCCAGCCGGAAGTGTAACAATTTAGAATGAAAACTGAGCTAAGGAGAGTGAGGGGTTCAGAGCTCAGCCTGAGCTGAGCCAGGGAAGCCCTCCTGAACTGAGGGGAGAGGGAAAGGAGAGCTTAGCTGCAGCAGGAAATCACACTGCTTGTCAATGTTCCTTTTTATGTGGAAAAGCTTGCATAACTTAAACTCACGAATAAAAGACCTCAGAGACTTATAAGAGCTATATGATGGGATGTTGTACGTAACTGAGGGAGGCATGGTTAACAGCTACAAGAAGTCGTGCCCTTCCTGTCATCTTTCTGGATTTGTGGAGTTCCCTCCCTATTACAAATAACAATTCTTAAAATTATGAGGTATTTACTTGGGAGTATCATCAGTTGTGTATACTTGATCTCTTGCAGTTATCACTATGGAAGTCAGCAGCAGAATTGAATGTATCTTTTTCAGTGAATTCCACCCAACACTTGGGCCTAAGATAACATATCAGGTTAGTGGTACCAAACATCATGGTATAAAGAAACTGGTCAGTATATAGTTGTGGGACATTCAGAAAGCTGCCTTATGCTATGTTGGATTATTGGTCCATTGAGCCCAGTACTGTCTATTCTGAGTGGCAGCTACTCTCTGGGGTCCCTCTCTGCAGCATAGCGCTTCCTTGACAGTGGAAAACTGATTTATAAAAATATGTTTAGATGGGTTTCAAAGGAGTCCATAGATCTCATCTTGCGACTACTGATCTGCAGATTTAATTTCTGACCCTGCAGGTACCAGAGGATTTCATTTCCCGAGAGCTCTTTGATACAGTTCAGGTCTATATCATCACCAAACCTGAACTGCAAAACAAGCTCATCACTGTGTAAGTAGAAAAAATCCACATGAGTCTTGTAGACCACCCTTCCCCTTTAATCATGCCCATCTGTGGCAAAGTAGCACAAAAATATTATATTCAATAACATTAAAATACATTCTCTCTCTTTCCAACAGTACAGCTATGGGGAAAAAGCTAATTGGTTGTCCAGTTTGCATTGAGCATAAGAAGTACAGCCGGAATGCCTTGCTCTTCAACCTTGGCTTCGTTTGTGATGCTAGAGCTAAGACTTGTGCACTGGAGCCTATAGTGAAGAAACTGGCAGGTTATCTTACCACTCTAGAGGTTAGACATGACACAAATATGCCATTCCACAAGAGGATGTACAGATCACATGTTTTAGCAACATGAAAGCTTAATTTAAAGTCTCCTCTGCTTTGTTTTATTCTTGTGGTTTTTTTCTTTGTTCTGCTGAATTGCACCTGCTGAATTCTGAAACTGACCACCCATACGTTCAACCAGTGCTACTGTGATAGATGTGTGTGACTGTCACAGATACCTGTTGGATAGTACCTGTGACATCACTGATGACCTGGCAGAGCACTCTCCCTGTTCTTTCTTAGGGTACTGTGCAGCTGCTTTTGAAGAGTTTATATATCATCTTCAAGGTTTGTAAAGTGTGAATATTTACCTACTTTACCATTTCTGAGAAGAAATGGTGCAATTATCTAATTCTTTGCAACAGTGTTCTGCCATGTTGATGTTCTTTTCTATTATTATTTTTTAAATCAATGATATATACTTTCTCCCTTCCCACCAGTCTCAAAAGCACACATCTCCTGTTTATTTGCCTATTTGCTTCAAGAAGCATATAGCCTTTTCTATTGTTTCAGTGTTGCTGCTTTAGCAGCAGGAATATCTTCCTATCCATTTGTACCACTTTGTTAAGTTTATACCAATATCATACAACTGCTGCAGGATTGTTACCGATCCTGCAGTTGCACTAATGGCGAAGTTTCTCCCATTACTGTATAAAAAGGTGTGTGTGGGTTGTGGGAAAATGATTGCTTGTTGCAACTCGACAGTGGGTGTGTTTGTTTACACACACATATATACATGCACGTTCCCCATGAAAGATTTTTATTTAGTATGGGATACTTTCAGCACACACTACTACCTCTGCTTCTCATGGTATATTCAAAGTTGCATTTTGGTTGGGGCTAATCATTGACTTTGTTGTTTCTAGCTTGAGAGTGGCTTCATTTCCACTGATGAGAGCAAACAGAAGTTGATACCTATCATGACCATCCTACTTGAGGAACTAAATGCCACTGGCAAATGCACTCTTCCTATAGGTAACTGTCAACCAAAAAGTAGCAGCAAATGCTCCTTTTCAAATTGCATGTTAAGTTGCAAGCTTGCAAGTGATTCTTGAAGGAAATGCAGGGAAAGATGGAAGTGTGGCACTTTCAGAGCAGGAGAGCACTTAGTGTTGTGTTGTTCTCTCTTTTTTCCTCCAGTTATTGAAAGATAGAAATAGTCCAGTTGCTGTAGAATGTGGTGTATTTCAGGAAAGGGTGGTATATGAATATTAAATCCTACATTGATGCCCTTGAGTTTAGTTTTTGTTATCTTGAAGAGAATGGCACACATGCCTTAAACTTATGAGAGAATGGCACAAATGTCCATTGAAAGTTGGACTTTCACGCAAGTTCTTCCTGTCATAGATGAATTATTTCTGATGTTCAGACGCCTTTATTTTCCTGTCAGCTGTTGTCTGGCTCTCATGACCAAGAGTGCAAAAAAAGAGAAGTTGTTGATTGTCATTGTTCAATTAATCTGGATTAGCTCATTGTGCTAATTTCATCAGGCTCCCCCTTCCTGTTTCAGGCATGCAACCCTCTCTGCTTCTAGGGACCCTTTTGTTCCCACCATCTGATGACTCTGCAATTGGGAACCAAGCAACAAACTCAAGTTCAGACTTCAAAAGATTTAGCCAAGATGTTTTGGTTTACATTTCTTAATCATTTTTTCATTAAATTTCTATTCTGCCATTATCCCAAAAGAGCCCAGAGTGGCTCAGGAACATTGTTCTTATTTGTATGCTCTTGGGATGGAACCACCCCAGTTGTGCTATATTTAAAAAGTCACATCATCAAAGTACAGTGCAGAGATCCATGTGTTCCAATTGCAGCTGTCCTATCAACCAGTATTAAGATTCAGCTGCCAGTTCAATGAACTTGTGTACATAGATTGGGGCGTGGAACCATTTTGTCCTTTGCTTCAGGCAGCAAAACATCTTCAGAAGTCTCTAGCTCTCTGTCCATTTTTGCTCCTTCATGCAGATGAATCAAACACCATTCACCTGAAAGTGATTGAGCAACGCCCAGATCCCCCCATTGTGCAGGAATATGACGTTCCTGTCTTCACCCAAGATAAGGATGACTTCTTCAATTCCCAGTGGGATCTCACCACTCAGCAGGTTGGTACCCACAATTGTCTTGTTTAATACAATAGTGTGATGGTAGCAAATGCATCTTCACAGTCCGCCCCCCCCCAGCTAATTAACCTTGCCTGGCCATAGAATTTTGTGGGAGAGGCTGGCCATTAAAGTCAATTGGCAAATTATCACAAGAAATATGTGATTTTTAGGCAGCCTGATCCTGTGTAAGTCTTCTGAGAAGAAATGTGTTTCTGTAAGGTGTGCCTGTTTTTCTTTCCCTTTAACATGTTACTCTTATACTTACTGATTCATTTTTCTCAATGAGCACTGAATGGTACACAGGAGATTATTTCCCAGAATTTAACAATGAGAGGAGCCTCCAGTATCAAACTTTGTAGAATCTGAAACACTAGTCACAGATGACTTCAAATACTGCTGAAATTTGCTTGTATACTTGGGCTTGTGTTACTGCTACTTTAATAATTGCTTCCTTTTGTCATGTTGCCTGGAGGGTGGACAGGAACGCACTTCTCTCATATAGTACACCTTAGGAAAAGGTCCTCTAAGGCAGTGTTTCCCAACCTTGTGCCTCCAGCTGTTTTTGAACTACAACTCCCATCATCCCTGACTAGCAAGACCAGTGGCAAGGGATGATGGGAATTGTAGTCCAAAAACAGCTGGAGGCACAAGGTTGGGAAACACTGCTCTAAGGGGACGCAGGTGGCGTTGTGGTCTAAACCACTGAGCCTCTTGGGCTTGCCGATCAGAAGGTTGGTGGTTCGAATCCCCACGACGGGGTGAGCTCCCGTTGCTTGGTCCCAGCATGCCAAAAAGTGCAAGTAGATAAATAGGTACTGCTCTGGCGGGAAGGTAAACAGCGTTTCCGTGCGCTGCTCAGGTTTTGGTGTTCCGTTGCACCAGAAGCGGCTTAGTTATGCTGGCCACATGACCCGGAAAAAACTGTCTGCGGACAAACGCCAGCTCTCTCGGCCTGTAAAGCGAGATGAGCGCCGCAACCCCAGATTTGTCTGTGACTGGACTTAACTGTCAGGGTCCTTTATCTTTACCTTTACCTTTGGTCAGTTTAAAGCAGCATTACCCCTATGGTTGATGTGCAGGGGGTGAATGAAGACCTAGGGGTCAAAAAGAAGTTTGAGGTATAGTGGGGAGGGGAATAAACAAATGAACAAACAAATGGGGAGTTTTCCAAGATGGCCACCGTGTAAGGTTCCTCCTTCAAGTTCTCTCCGACCTCTTCTCCTGACTTGGATTTTACAACCGCTGGAGTAAGCTATTTACTTTAGTTTTGCATTTTGCTAGACAAGTAATTGCTGGACTCTCCA